AAGTTTACAAATTTGTCGCGTCCTTTTTTATAAACAATATTTGATATATTGCATTTTTGAGGTAGTGCTAACTTGACGGTGGGAATCTATGGTATAGAACGGAGATAACAAAAATATAGACGTTATTAATTGTCGTTTATTTCGTTAAAATAATTTTTGAGGTATTGCACTTTAAAGGCATACTAAACGTACTTTAAATTTTCGCCAATCGTCATCAAACGTTACTAAAGATTGGTATGACGTCATATTAAACCCACAATTGACCAATTACAGTATTCCATTTACAGTTACTATAGTAGCGTATTATTGACGTAAGGATCAATGGTGAAAAACCAACATTACCATACTAAAATCGTGAGCAAAACTGTTCATCAAACGTTACCACGGTTGTTTTTCAAACCAGAATTGACGAATTACAGAATTACGATTACAATTACCATAATAACGTATTGATGACGTGTAACAATTCTGCTTATAATTTTAGTGTGTTGCATATGTGAGGTCTACCTCGTCTTACTTGACACTCGGTCTATGTCTTAAAATGGAGATATTTCCGCAAATACATCATACATGCGATACATCATTGGAAAGCTAAAATTATGCTCTTTTCATTAACAGCATAATCAAATATAGTTTGTATTTAAAAAAATACAACTTTGTGTTGTATCTCAAAAATCATCAAATATTTTTAAAATTTTTCATCGGCAGTATATTCTACTTAAAAAAGTGCCTTAAGAACGTATCAACTCCATTTTTCTAATTTCAAAAATAAACGAAATATGAGCATTTTTTGAAATCACGAAAATTTGACTTTTTGGCTATAACTTAAAAACAAAAGAAGATAGAGGTTTGGTGTTTGCGGGATTGGGTTAGTCCCGAAAAAAGAGACCGGGACATGGCACCTACTTTTTTCGTATCTCTTATAGTTTCTGAGATAGCCTATAATAATACCCAAATTTGCCCACCCTGTACAATATACAGGATGTCCTGTTAAGCGTACGGAGCGGCTGTATCTCAACAACGGTAAGGCCTAGAGGTTTGGGAAAAAAATCCTTATAAGCAAATTGGGCAAGAGAAATAGCTGGAAATTATTTTGAAGTTCGTAATTCGACCGCTAGGGGGCGTAACTGCCATAGAGAAACATAAAATTCCCGCTATCTCAGAAAGTTAGACGATGAGCTATAACTTTGACAACATCATTTAGTAGCTTGGATAATACCGCATCGCTTTTGTTTTGGGATATTTCTCATATCTGTCATAATAAGGGAGGGGGAGGCCAATGCGTTTTCAAATGTTTACATTTTAATATCTCCTGGACTGTTCAACCGATTTGAATATTTTTGGTCTTGTTTGAAAGAGCATTACATGCTCTTTTAAACGATATTTTCAGTAAGACCGCTTGGTTTAAAACAAGTAAGCTAGAGGGCGTTATCTGCAGCGGTTACATATTTTTGTGATTTTTGAAAAAAAGTTAAATGGAACGGTACTATTTACTTCACAGACCGTTAATCACCATAAAATTTGCTAAATATTAGTGAAAACCGCATCTCGATATCTCCATCCATTCTCGAATTATAAAAGAAAATGTTAAAAATTCGTATATCTTAATCGGATCAAGTTACCTTAGGAAACAAATAAGAGAGAACAAAAATTTTATTATCTAGAACCTTCCTTCACACTTTATCCAAGCTTAGAACTGCTTCAAAACTACTTTTGAGGCGTGTTGAAAAGCCAACGGATCAATGAAACATCAACAATGATAATAAAACAAAATAAACCAAAACACTTAGAATAACTTAAATTTTTGGCAAAAATAACTCACTAATGTGCGAAATGCCTTCCATAAACCTCGATGCATTTATTTAATCTAGTTTCGACGAAAAAAAAGCGCTGCTTAAGTCTCGGCCCTGGACACGTTTCTACTGGTATTTAGTGTTTTGTCATATTTTCCCTGGTTATTGGTTTTTCTTGAAAAGTCAGGTCGTTTAGTCTACCCAATAGATAAAGGGGTGAAAGCAATGTGGGTTTTGCTCGAACCAAGAATGCATATTATGCAAGTTTACATCAGCTTGTGCACAGATGCTTCATGCATCCATAGCATTTGTGATAAAAGGTTTGGATTTGCCCAAATCATATTTAAAAGTCAATGGTAATAGTTCAGTCTGTTATCACAATCGATATCTGTTAAGGCCTGATGTAAAACAACGTGGTGGAGATATTATTCTCTTGAGAAATCTTCTGGACAATTGTTTTCGGAGTTCCCAGATTATGTGGGATCACATTGCCCACCAATGTGATTTACGAATTCATAGGGATGTCTGAATGGGCTACACGTTGCCAGTTTTCCGTAATCGCTAAATCTTAAAAACACTTCTAGAGAAAGATGTCTTTCTTTGTCGTAATTGCATTGCACATTTTTGCCATGCAGTTGCATCGTATTCAAAACATTGAAAATAAATCATCATACGCTCTATCATACACTTCTGCGTTAGTAAATGACATGTTTACAGTTACCATGGTTATGTGATTTGTTTTTGTCGATGAGGTAACTGGATTGATGGCACTCGAGTTTTTAACATTTTCTTCTATAACTCGAGAACGGGTGGCGATATCGAGATGCGGTTTTCACTAAAATTTAGCAAATTTTAAGGTGACTAAGGGTCTGTGAAGTAAACAGTATCGTTTCATTTAACTTTTCTTCAAAAATCATAAAAATATGTAATCGCTGCAGATAACGCCCTCTAGCTCATTTGTTTTAAAGCAAACGGTCTCACTGAAAATATCTTTAAAAATAGCATAAAATGCTCTTTCAAACAACACCGAAAATATTCAAATCGGTTGAATGGTCTAGGAGATATTAAAATGTAAACATATGAAAACGCATTGGCCTCCCCCTCCCTTATTATGACAAATATGAGAAATATCGCAAAACAAAAACGATGCGGTATTATCCAAGCTATTAAATGATGTTGTCAAAGTTATAGCTCATCGTCTAAGTTTCTGAGACAGCGGGAATTTTATGTTTCTCTATGGCAGTTACGCCCCCTAGCGGTTGAATTACGAACTTCAAAATAATTTCCAGCTATTTCTCTTGGTCACTTTGCTTATAAGGATTTTTTTCCCAAACCTCTAGGCCTTAACGTTCTAGAGATACAACCGCTCCGTACGCTTAACGGGACACCCTGTACATATAAAAAATGTATTACTGATTTTTCAAACTTATCTCAGCATAAATAATGCGTCGGATATGTTCAAACCACTAAGGTCCATTACTACCATCTTTTAGTTAAATTTATCTTATAGATAAACTCATCTACTAACCAATCAGAGCGCGTGAAATAGCCGTAACCATAGTAATAATCCCTTAGATAGCTTAACCAGAAGATGGTAGTAACGAGCCTAAGGCCCACTTTTACCACCTCTTGATAAATTTAACCGATAGATAATTACCATGGTTACAGCAGTTTTAAGCGCTCTCATTAGCTAAGAGCGCCAATTTATCTATTGGTTAAATTTATCAAGAGGTGGTAAAAGTGGGCCTTAGTCTCTTTGTCTGCCTCTTTATGGATAATACAGAACCCGTTTCCAATTTTTTTTCATCAGTTTGCGAGCCCCACATGAGATATTCTTGTGTCAAGATATTTTTGCTAGAATTTTTGTATAACTACACGAACACATGATTCATTAGTACCATAGTACAGTACTAAATAAATTCTCTCTTTCATGGTTAACATCCTTTGATTATATATAATATGGATTGAGCTAACTGAATATATCTACTAACAAAAATCTTGCTCAAGGTGAATAGACGCAGATGGAAAGCGATAATGTGAAAGTGTAACAAAGATAGATATATTATATGTCAGTACGCTTCTATATCTATCTCACTTCTATCAGTACACCCATTATATGGCAGTACGCTTCTATGTCTATCTCGGTTCGATCACCTTGCGCAAGCTATCTCTCTCGTTGGCTCAATCCATATTATATATAATCAAAGTTAACATCGCATGAAAAGACTTAATCTCACCAACACAAGTTGTAACTTTTATGGTTTCTATGGTTACATATCATAAATTGAACTTCAATTTCAATTTTCAATTTAGAAAAAATTCCAATTACCTCCGATCTTCCAAAAGGGTCATGGTCTTCACCGTCGTATTTTTTCCTATCCATGGCCACGGTGGCATTCCCTTTGTCTACTGGTAGCACGATGATGTGCGTTTTTTCTCTGATCGTCAGTAGTGTTCTTCTTTAGTTGATTATTAAGGTTAATTTTGGTGGCTTCGCTTTCACCGCCGGTATTCTGCGAAGCTCGCTTCCACTCCGCAGATGATTTCTTCCTTCGAACCCTGTTCTTTGGGGCGACTGCGTACTTTGAACTTATTTCTAAAGAAGATTGCAACATGGCATCCTAACATCTTTTTATCAATCCTAACAAAATTTTCATCATATTGGCGGTGTATGTTCCTGCAATTTTTCGTAAAAGTTATACAATTGAATATTTACGGAAACTTTATTGAGACAATGTACAAATTAACCCGTCAATTTTGACGTTGACTTCTTAAAAAGGGGGGATTTCTTTTTGTATCGAAGGGTAATTTTCGGTTTAAAAAAGAAAGCCGATTGCAAGTTTTTAGTGAATTTGCTATGTAAAGAGATTGAAAAGAACAATGTTGAAGACGGCGGCAAAATTGAACGTAGACTGTGCTGGTGATAGTAATTGGAACAATCCCAAAAAGATTTCCGTTTATGAGATAAAAGAATGTACCGACTACTCATCAATGTTAGCAGAATTTATTGCAACATGTAAGTTTATTTTAATTTTTTTTAATAAAAAGTTAGTTTTGAATTATTATGTTCGAAATATAATTAAAAGTGCAGCATTTAAAATAAATATTTATTGGAAAAATATGTAATAACAACAACAGCGAACTCTTTCGTTTTTTTGTTAGAAACAACAATAGGCACAAAATTGTTTTGGTAAAAAAAGAAACGACAAAATAACAAACATTATATTGCAAATTATAATAAAATACTGGAAAGAGTTAATATGTATTACGTCACTAATGCGGAAATATTGGAAAAAGGAATGCACTAAAGTTATTTTTTTTATGTAGAATTTTATTATTACTAAGATAAGGAGTAATAATTGTCGTTACTATTTTAACTGGCCATTTAAGCATTATTTATTATTGTTACAGTTTGATTTTAACTCCTTTAAATTTTAATATTGCAATACTGTTTTAAAAATGGGAATAGAAAGACGAAAAGTGAGAGAGTCTTTAAGTACTACTATTATTAAAATCTGGGCTATAGATATAGAACTAGATAGAAAAAGCTTTTTTGATTTGATATGTTATCTTATTTTTTGAACAATAACAGTAATTTAAAAAGACAAAGCTTCCAAATAAGTGCTGTTTTTTTTATCTTTTAATACTGAAAGCAACCCTATGTTGACAAAAAAAACGTAACATTCAAAAACAAATTAGAAAATACAAAATTTCTTTTTTATAAATTAACATTCGGTCTTAATTAACTTTTCAAAAATAAAACATTCAAACCAACCAAATTAACGAAAGTCGAATTTCGATGCGCGACGTTGTTTATTAGTTAATCGCTTACATCGATACTATCATAATCGATACTGGTTAAATCGCGCGGTTTTCTCGAATACTTTAACCCGATTTTATTTGCAACCTTTTCGATCGTTTCTAACGCATAATCCAATTGCTCTTTCGTGTGCGCCGCTGATAGACAAATGCGAATGCGAGACTCCAAAAACGGCGTTGCCGGATATCCAACACCGACAGTTGCTATGTTGTGATTTCGCAATTCTCTAACCACCGCCCTAAAATTATTTTAATAAAAGTATTAAAAAAAATCATAAAAAAATGGATATTAATTACTTACGTAACCTTCGAGTAGAGATACGTTAAAAACGGAACAACCGGAGAATCCTCGTTTCCATAAGTGATGACACCAATTTGAGCTAAACGCCTTCTAAAGTATCTGGTATTCCGCATTAATTTATCAACGCGTTTCTTTCCTTCATCGGTACCATCTTTACCCATCAATATACGTAAAACTCCGATTATTTGAGCCGCAACCGGTGGAGACATTGCTACTGCATATTTATTTGCGTAACTGTATTCTCTTAGGTAAGATACAAATTCCTGAAAAGTAAAAAATAATTACAGTTATTTCTCGTTTTGCACAGTACTATTTTATACGTTATTGCTTTTATTTGGCTCGAAAGTAAAAAAAAAAATAAATGTTAAAAATAAACTGGTTATAATCAATTTTTATATTTATTTTAACATGTAAAATGGTTCACATCTTTTGACCTTAAATCATAAACCAGTAATCATTCGTATGTATAAGTATGGCAGTGTTTTCAATAAGTTTGTTGAAACTGCGCGTCAGTTGTGTGAATTATATGAGAGTTATGCGTTAGTAAAAATATAGTACAGAAAAATTTCAAGTTCGTAACAAAAGAATTACGAATCACTACTTACTTCTATTTAGTTTGTCTTGTGTCGCTGTACTAATTGGTTGATAAAATGTCATCGAAAAGAAGGAAATTTCTGTTGAAATTAGAAAACTGGTACTAAAACATCGAAAAGAAATCTTACGGCAAAATTTCCAAAATTGTAAATGTAAGAATAAGTCGAATAAGAGTCCAGACTATTATCAAAAATTACAATGAGAATGATTCCTTTGATAACAAAGTGCGTACAGGCCGGTCCAAAAAAACTAACTAGAAGAGATTTATCAAAAATTAGCCAATCACATCGCGAGTGAGTCAAAAAGTCTGTAAATCCAAAAACGATTGCAAAGTGTTCTACCTGATCATGGGTTTTTAATACCTCGACTAAAGTTTGCTCATTCTCATATTGTCAAGGACTGAAAATGTCGGTTACAGTTATTAATATTTGTTCTCGTTCAGGTTTAGCTTGTTAGTTGTTAGTCAAGTATATTCTGTATTAGATTATCTTCGTAATTAATATTTGTATCCATGTTGCAAGTTAATTAAGTATTAATAAAACGACAAAAACTTCTTCTTTGCTATTTATTAATATACATACAGTTATCTCACGTAACTGGTTCGCTAGAACTTTTTCAAGTTCCACTAATCGTAGAGGTTTGAAATTTCGGTAGCATGGGTTGTTCATTCGGAACTTTCAATCTAAAATATTTTCAAGATGGCCTCCACTTCTGGGCTACCGGAAGTAGACCATAACTTCGTTATTTAAATGGAATGTTATAGTTTTTATTGCACGTAAAAAAATATGCTGACTTTCATAAACGTTATTGATACCTAGCGGTTTTCATTTTCGAGTTATTTTGATTTTAAACTTTTTTTGCCGAATTTCACTATGCTTTTTAACACCCCATTTCTCAGCCAACGTTAATTCAAAAAAGCTCTATATTGGTACGATTCTCTTCAGATGCAGTTAAATAGATAGGATGGTCAAAAATTGAATTACTGTTTCTCCATATTCAATGGGGAGAAAGTAGAAAATTTTAACTAAGCCTATCAGAGAGGGAATTTAATTCTCTACAAATGATCTATAAACATTCCTATACCTATTTATTGTAGTTTTCCTCATATTGGGAAATTTATCAAAACATGCACGGAGTGCAATTTTTTTTATTAGATACTAACTGTACCCTGCGCGCGTTGCTACTAAAATAAATTTGAAGGAAAGACATTACGCAAATATTCAATTCATTTTGAGTCATTTTATTGATTTCGAGAATTGTCGAAAATTGGTCGAACCAACTTAGAAACCTTCGTGGGCTCATGCACAACAACTTTGCTAAAGATCATCACATGATCAAATGCATAAATGACGATTCTATAAAGGATATACAGACAAACATTCATTTTTATATATACAGGTGCCCGGAAATTGCGTTCATATATTTGAAAGGGTAATTCTACATAAAAAATCATGAAGAAAAGTTCATATAAAGGTGTGTCCTAAAATGCTTCCTAAGGGAGGTAGAGCGCTTTGAAGAAGACGTTCAATATGTGGTTATTTCTCATTATTTCAAAAACTACTAGGGTTAGAAACACGAAATTTTGCATATTTAGCTATGTTTACGGGGTGAATACGATAATCGAATGAAAAATTAGAAGGAATGTGCAATTGCGGAAATGAGGGATAGGGGGCGCAATTTATTTCCCATATTTTTTTTTGCTTTGATCTTTTCACTATTTTAACCTCAAAATTAGAATCTACGGAAAAAAATACATAAAAAATGTTCTGCTTATAAAATGGTCTACGATCACTCGTTTTCAAGATAAATTATACTAAGTAAAATACTGCACACAAATATGTGTATTAAGCTATCACTAAAAATCTTAATAGGCTTCTTTCATTGGTTTGATTTAAGCTGTCAAATGGGTGATAAAAAATTACTTCGTACATTGTCTACAAAAATTTCTGCGAATCATGGTTAATTTTATCAAAATGATTCAAAAGATGATTATTACTAATTTTTGATAATAACTTAAAATTTTACCAAAACCTTAATAAAAACAATCTAAACAAAACGTATTAACAGTTTAACAAAAGTAAACACTTAAACTTAAAACATTAACAAAAAGCACTTAAATTTTTAACAAATAACACCAAAAAAAGTTATAAGAATTGTTCAAAAATTCCACCATCCATGTCAATGCAACATCTCACTCGTTTAATTAATGAACGTCTTACTTTTCAAAAAATACCTTGTTTGTTTCGAATAGTGTTACAACCGTCCCTTACACGTTGTTCTAGCTCCTCGACATTGTTAACTGGTGTTGCATACACTAAATATTTACCGTATGGGTTTTCATCGGCCCAAACATGGATATTATGGAAGTTAATGACGCCTTCCCGGGTAAATCCACCTTCATCGGTAAACAACACGGTAGTCTTGGGATGCTATCGGTGGGTTTTAAGGCCTGCACCTTTTGGAAATGATATGGATGCAGTAGCTGATCTTTAAATACCTCCCAAACGGTGGTTTTCGGCACATTTTCTTGTGCCGATAATCTCCTAGTGCTTACTGTAGGATTGATAGCTACTGCATTGAGCACCCTTTCTTCCACTTCTACAGTCCTCGTAGTGCATGATTTTCCACAGTCATAACGATTTTCCTTAAAGCGCCCAGTTTCATATAATTTTCTATGAATAGAAGCGAACGTTTGTTCACAGGGAAGTTGTAGGTTTGCATATCGTTCTGCGTACAATCTTCGTGCTTCTCTGGCATTTCCATCAGCTCTACCGTACGTAAAGTGAATGTTTGCCATCTCTTCGTTTGAGTATTGAACTATTTTGATTTAATTAAACGTAAATTATAATGGTTGTTGCACTAAAATAATTTTTTATCGACCGTTTGACAGCAAAGATCAACAAATGAAAGGAGCCTACTAAGATTTTTAGTGATAGTTTAATACACATGTTTGTGTGCAGTATTTTACTTACAATTAGTATTATTTATCTTGAAAACGAGTGGTCGTAGACCACTCGATTTTCTAAGCAGAACATTTTTTATGTATTTTTTTCCGTAGATTCTAATTTTGATTTTAAAATAGTGAAAAGATCAAAGCAAAAAAAGTATGGGAAATAAATTGCGACCCTATCCCTTGTTTCCGCAACTGCACATTCCTTCTAATTTTTTATTCGATTATCGTATTCGCCCCGTAAAAATAGCTGGATATGCAAAATTTCGTGTTTCTAACCCTAGTAGTTTTTGAAATAATGAGAAATAACCTCATATTGAAGTCTTCTTCAAAGCGCTCTACCTCCCTTAGGAAGCATTTTAGGACACACCTTTATATGAACTTTTCTTCATGATTTTTTATGTAGAATCACACCTTTAAATATATGAACGCAATTTCCGGGCACCCTGTATAGATAGAATTTTGACAATTTTTGGTCCATGTTTGTATTAGCGACGGGTGTAAGTCATTGAACATGATGGCTGATTATTCAAACGCCGATATTTGAAATTTATTTTGTATTGATGGTGAATGTAATAAACTTTTGGACAGGACGGGTCGAACACTTAATGAGAGATGCCAAACAAATGTAATATCCATCACAAAGAAAAAATTCTTAAAAATTGATAAAGATTTTCTTAGTTGTGGACATATCGAGACCAAAAGAAACCGTATTTCCAGTCACCTGTTATGAAGACAACGAAATAAATGTTTTATCGTATTTTATTACATTTCCAACTGAAATTTAATAAAAAATTTATGTTTTAACTTTATATTTGTTATCCAAATTTAATTTTTGTCATTAATTTTTTCTTTTCATTGTTTCATTTATTTATTTGAACTTATGTTTGTTATTTTTGGTAAATAAAAGTTAGTAAACTAAAAGAATATTAATCGTAGTTAATAGTAATAATAATAATAGAAATAAATTAAACAAAAAATTGTGAAAATGTTATGGCTTTCTAATAAAACTACAAACAGTATCCGGTATTTCCTGCACGTTTTGATAAATTTCCTAATATGAGAGAAACTACAACAAAGAGGTATAGGAATGTTTATGGATAATTTGTACAGAATTAAATTCCCTTTCGGGTAGGGTAATAAAATACGGGGCGTTACATTTATAATTTTCGACCTTCTCCCCATCGAATATGGAGAAACGGTAATTCAATATTTGACCAGCCTGTATAACATTCTTTAATACAAACAAACGACAATCTATTTGATAGCAATCTGAAGAGTAATCGTGCCAATTTAAAGTTGTTTTGAAGTGTTGGCTGGGATATAGAGTTTTAAAGAGCATGGTGAAATTTGCCAAAAAAAATTTAAATCAAAATAACTCGAAAACAAAAAACGCTAGGTACCAATAACATTTATGAAAGTCAACATATATTTTGACGTACAATTAAGAGATGCAAGAAAAACTATAGCATTTCATTTAAAATAACGAAGTTATAGTCTACTTCCGGTAGACTGGACTGGAAGTGGCAGTCATCTTGAAAATATTTTAGATCGAAAGTTCCGAATGAACAACCCATGTTACCAAAATTTCAAAACTGTACGAATAGTGGAACCTAAAAAAGTTCTAACGACTAGTTTCGGGGTAAATGCCCATTTTCAGCCAAGTATTCCAAAATAGATTTTCTTGGTTCTTTGTCGATGGTTTTAAAGTGTTAATTT